ATAAGGGGGGAGTGAGTCTGCTTTGGTTTAAAGTTAGGAGCCTTAAAGTACCAGGCCCGTAATAAAGGAGAGTGGGTTCCCTGAAAAGCTGTGCCTCTTGATACTTAATACTTTAGGTACCTCCTTGAAATCCTCTCACAGAAGTGGGGCTGGAGGAATGGAAGCCCGGCTCAGGTTTAGCGTGCACCCTTCCCTAACCCTGGCAGCAGAGAAAACAGTGTCTTTAGCCTCCAGGTCTTTAGGTCCAATACCTTGGGCTTCAGGCCTGTAAGTGGATTAAAAGTAAGGCTGACCTCAATATTTAACTTGTAAAGATTCTGACTTGGTATGTGGATTTGCCTTTGTTCTTTTGCTGAAGGCTCTACAAACATGGGTAGGCAAGAGTGGTCAATGTCTATTAGCTAAAGTCTAGATCCTTAATTTTAATGACAATCCTTTTCTAAATTCATAAACAAGTTAGGGCTCCCTCTTGTGGTATACTGTTAAATCACATGCCTTTTCTCTAGTTTGTCTTTTTAATTGACAGATAATGATTGTACATGTTTATATACATGTGTGCATGACTAGTGATAATTCAGTACATGTATACAATGCCTAATGACCAAATCAGGTAATTAGCATTTGTGAGCCCTTATACATTCGTCATTTCTTTATGTTGGGAGCCTTGGATCTCCTCTCTTCTAGTTCTTCATAAAATATATAATAAGTTGTTGTTAAATAGTCTCCCTACTTATTCTTTTTATCTAACTGTATTTTTATAACCTTTATCCAACTTTCTTCTTTTAAATGTTGAAAGCATTTTGTCAAACATTGATTTCCTACTAGTAGTTGGTTCATAGTTTCCTCAGCCAATTCAACAGAATTCACAAAATGGATGAATCTAGTTATTTAATAAATCTATTATAACAATAAAATTTAATACATTTATTTTGTGCTTGCTTCTTTTGATCTGACATCTCCAAATAAAATATTCTTAAGCAAATGGAACTGTATTCTCTAAAAGATTTTTTTATCTCCCTCTGAATAAGTGATTTTTTTTCTATTTGCCTAGCTGTTCAAAATAGTATTCCTTCACCTTTAAAGTCCAATAATTTTACAAGGGAATCTCTTGGTGTTAGAAGCCCTGAATCAAATTTTCCTGAGATGCTGTTTGCACCTTAAAATTATGGATCTGTTGTTTATTTGAAGGAAAGTTCCTTAATATCACCTTGGAAGATAGACTTCTTTCCTATTCTCCTTGATTATGAATTTGTTTGATTGCTATTGTCTGAATCCAGTATCTATAATTATGTCTAGTCTATTAAATCTTACTTAGTTTTTTAGTTTGTTCATACTTTTCAACTCTATTTTCTCTGTCCTTGTAATTCTGTCTTTATTCTCAGTTGCTCATTATAGTATGACACTCGTTTTTGATAGTTTTGTTCTTTTATTTTACATCTTTCCTAAGTTATTTCAGCCCATATGTTTTTCCCCCATCTTACCACATTTCCATGAGCCCTTGTTTTGAGCTTTCAACTTTACATTGTTTATTTTTTAAACATTTTTATAAAATTGTAGTTTTGTAATATATTTCTTGATAGATTGTTCTGCCATGCCATTTGATTTTCTTTTTCTGTTGCTATTCACCTTTGAACAAGGTGAATTATTCCTTAGCCTGTGTTTTGTAAGATGTTTGTATTAGATTTCATAAGTAAATATGCTAACTAATACAGAGCCTTCTGGGCTGGGCAGCATACAGGCACCTGAGATATCGATGTCTCCAAACCTTAGTAAACCACTGTAGTTATAAGAAATTTGTGATGGACAGGGATTGTGAAAATCAGTGGCATGAGACCGAGTATCTAGAAATAAACCTATGCACAGGAAAGTTAGAAAAAAATTGTGTTTGGATTAATCCCACAGAATTCTGGTCCACTGAAAAATACTATGAGTTAAAAACAGAAAAATGCCAAGAGGTAACCATTGTTAATTTTTATATTCTCATGGAGTGGAGCAAATGGCTATAAGTCATGTATTAAACTCAACATATCAAGTAAATTTGAAGATTTAGTTCAGAAAAAAATACAAGTGGCAATAAATGTATAAAAATGCTCAATTTCTTTAATGACTTTTTAAAAATTAAAGGTATGTTTTTCAACCCATGTGATTGGTAGTGATTTAAATTTTATTGTGTTTCTGCACTTTTGGTTGGCTTTCATATTTGTGTAACTCTTTGATAAAGCAAATTGATGATATCACAACATAAATATTCGTACACTTTGACCCAGGAGTTGTGTTTTGTGAAACCTGTCCTACAGATAGACTTGCACAACTGTGTGAAGGTAAATTTTGTCATTTTTTTTTGAAGCAAAACGTTTATTGGTGCTTTTTAGATACATATAAAGATAACATTCATCACAGGGAATTTGTACCTGTACATGATATATCTTGCTTCCTCTTTTTTCTCATTCCCTCTCCTTATTTACAAAAGCTTTGTTTCTATTTTTTCCTTCTATTTTCCTTTCTCCCTTGTCCCTTCTTTCCTTTCCCCTTCCCTCTCCCTTGTTCCCCTCCCCTTTGAACATTTTCTTCTCATTTCTCAATGTCTATTATACATTTTGGTCCTTAATTCCGCTTTCAGTTTCTCACAACAGAAGCGATGCAGTATTTACACACATGTGTCCAGTTTATCTCACTTAAGAGTATGGTCTCAAGGTGGATCCATTTAGCTAGAAATATCTCAAGCTTATCCTTCTTTATGCCAAGGTAAATTTAAGAACTGTAGATCACATGCTGGGTACTGTGGTACACACTTGTACACCCACAGTTGTAACCCAGCTACTTGGGAGTCTGAGGCAGGAGGACTGAAAGTTTGAGATCAGTTTGGGCAACTCAGTGAGATCCTGTCTCAGAATGAAATTGCAAGAAAACGCTGTGGATGTAGCTCAATGCGGGAGCATGTGTCTTGCATGTGTGAGATCCTGCATTCAGTTCTCAATAAAATTGAAAAATTTAAAAAGTAAAAGAAGGAAATATATACTACAGAATTGTAATGAACAAAAATGATTTAAATATATATGATAATATTTAGTACATTACTATTAAATATATACAGTAGACTAGGGAAACAAACTATAGGGAATTTATGGTGTAGAACACTATAACACTGCCAACAAAGACTATTTATTTATTTACTTATAGTTAGTTTTGGAGACAGGGCTATGTAGCCCAGGCCGGCCTTGAACTCACTGTGTAGCCCAGGCTGGCCTAGGACTCCCAGTGACATTCCTGCCTCAGCCTCCCAAGTGCTGGGATTACAGGCATGCGCTGCCGCACCCAGCTAAAAACATTTTAATGGTTTTAAGTGCAGTGTAAAAGATGTCAGGACCAGGGCCAAACAGGTCGATAATCCCAGCCACTCAAAAGGCTGAGGTGAAAGGGAGTTTGAGCCTCCGAGTTTGAGACCAGCCTGAGCAGCATAGTAAGACCCTGTCTGAAAAGAGAAAAAGATGCCAGGTATACAATAAGTGAAAGCTTTAAGTTGTTGAACGTAAAGATAGTTTCGTTTGGCAGTAGCTGTGTGGAAATTAAATGACTGCGCATGTGTGGGTGGGTGGTCATCGGATGCGCACAGGTGTCACCTCCATTTAAGCTGGGGAGGGGCTGGGCAGAAAGTGGAGCCAGGCAAGTGAAGGGAGGGTTTTCTCCTCTCGATGGTCTGTGCTGCTTGAAACGTATTTAAACGGTTTCTTTCCCTGAAAAAGAAAAATACCAAAACTCTAAAGGATACTCATGTCCTTTAGTACCAGATTACCACAAAACATATATACTTGCTGTTTTAAAAAGTACTTATTATAAAAGGGAAATAGGAAAAATTAGCACCCCAAGAAATGCATGTAGATATACTCAATATCATCCTATTACAGAACAAGCAATTGTTATCCTAATCTACTCTCTGAAGAAAGTGAAGATTAAAAGCAGGAATTACAATTCAAATGTTTCATATGGCCAGGGAATTAACATAAATACAGTAGCTTAGGCCCTGTTACAGATGCAATTAATCTGTCACAATATCTATCAACATATTATAACATGAATATAATCTTAGAAGGTATATCTTAAATTAAAATGCATATTTTATGTACAAATTTGCATCTGATACTTTGATGACTGTGAACTTGTTTTCATACCAGTTTGAGAATCTCAGGATGGAAGCATGGAGGCTGTATTTATCCATCAAAATGTAATGAATCTTGATCTAATGTAAAGGAAATGAAAATGCAATTATCTGAGGCTGTTGTTAAAAAGCAGATTAAAATGTTAAAATGGAAATATTTAACAGGCATCTCATTTCATTAATATCAGATGAGCTTAAGGAATATAGATTTAACATAATATCCTGTCTTTTCTCTTAATGTTATTTTTAAAATAGATTTTGATCATATCTTTTTTTATCACATATTAAAGATAACTATTTTGCCTTTGATATTGAAAACAATATTCTATAACCCTAAATATTGCTTCAAAAAGAAAGTTAATAAAATAGAACTAGATACAACGTCAATATTCCTCCTTTATAGTAAATATTGAGGTTTATTATTTTGGTCAAAATACCCTATAGTGTAAGTACATTTTTCAAATGTGTCTATGATATCTGTTGATAAATTCATTATATTGGTTATTTTGAACTTCTCACTTGGAAAAAAATAAAGACTATATTTTTCTTTCTTAATCTAAAAACTTTACTTTCCTGGCACCACTTGCTTTGATTGTGTTTAGACTGGCTTATTTAAAATTTGTTAATTTTGATTCTGTAAGTAATATTCCTTAGTTTTGTTGTATATTCTCGAAATTTTGGCATGCATGTAACATTTTACATATTTTCTGTAGTACTCTAGTTTAAATATCAAAACAAAGTGACTGGAAGAAATAATTAAAGGTTATGTTGGACAAGTATATAAGACAAGTACTTGAATAATGGGGTAGTTTTCTATAAATGACTTTTTCTTTTTTCACTAAAGGCACTTGCTTAACAAGAAATAGTAGCACCAGCTGTACCTCTTCAAGATCTTTGCTTTCTAACTACCTGTATGTCTTCATTCTGGGGCAACTGCTGCTGGGGGTCGGAGGCACCCCTCTCTACACCCTGGGCACAGCCTTCATTGATGAGTCAGTGCCTATGCACAAAGCGTCTCTCTATATAGGTAAGTCTGCTCTTCACTGGAACAGTCTTGGGATTGTTTTGAATTCTTGTTTGTTTACTTTATAGTAAAACGTAAGACAGGCTTGTTAAAAAGGTGGTTGTAATGTTATAGGTATTTCAGTTAGGTAACTTCTGCCTTACTTTCATTTATTTTATTATTTACATAATGTCCTGCTCTGGGTGCACTGACCTTACTGGATGGGAAGAGCCATCCAAGCAGCCTTGTGTCTTGATTGCTTGACTCCCAGGGAAATTTACACAGGCAGTGGAGACTGACCTACTGGATCCTGTGTGATCTTGAGGAGCGTCCACAAGAAAAGCCACAAGAAGGTGTCCAGAAACTCCATGGAGTTTTCCATTTAAAATCAACATTTTTTAATATATGACTCCTTTTTGGGGGTGAGGGTTGTGGTTTTATAGTATAAGTTTCTTGTAAATTTTCCCCTGAAGCCTGGAGCTAGCTAGTCTATGCAAGGCCCTACATCTAATTATTAAGTAATTTATTGGGATATGAGTTTTCTCTGAATTACTTTATTATTCTATCATAGAGAATTATTGACCCAGTTACTGAATGTCAATATGTGTGTTCAAGATGCATAATAAATACTTTCATTGGTAATAGATAACATGCTGCATCTTGATTCTTTTTTACTTTCCCTCCTTCCTCTCATCTTCTCCATCACCAAATCCCCTTCGCATCTTTACAAAATCCTAATGTAAACATTTCTAAAGCAGTTTTATATTTTTACGAAAGTTAAAAGGTCTCTTTACAAAGTTATCAATGTGACCCAATTGGAAATTATTTTTAAAAGTCCATCAAGGGAAAGAATTTATGAATGACTGATTTCCAGCATTTTAAATCATGTACTCTTGTTCATAAAATATTTTGAGTGTGGATCCCTTATATGTGCATATACTTAATTATTTATAAATTATATACTTGAATTTTCCTACTAATATTTTTTACATTAGAAAATACAACTATAAAATAAGGTGATTGAAAAATAAAATTCTTACATGTTTTCAGATGAACTTGTGGAGACTTATCTAGTGGATAAATATTTTTTGCCACTATTTGTGCTTAGTTTTGAGTATAAACTAAGTTTCTTGTTCTCTTGTGTATGAGAATAAAAATCACACCAGTTAATAAAAAACATCCCAAGCATGGTAACGGTAAATTTTGTTTTGGAAATATTGTAAATTATATATGGAAAAATTAAATATTTGACAGACATAAACTCAGTGTAATCCTGCTACTAGTAACAACAGGAGTCACTGAGAACAAGTGGCCTACTTTTAAGAAACAGACTTGTCAGCAAATCCAGGTTTTGAAGTTTGCGTTAGTGCAAAGCAAAGAATGCTTCCAAGTGAGTCCCGAGTAAGAAAAGTTTCTTGTTTCACATTGTTTTCTTCCAGAAGATTGTAAACAATAATTATCCCTGTCACTAAAAGGATAAAAGTAGATGTACTACATAATATAACATGCCATGGATTTGTAATTAATGGGTTTATTATAATTATTATTATAGGCAAACAACTTTTACAGTGAGTCATGCATTTTAAGTTCCTTGACTTAACTATCAACCAAGTGATACCATCAAAATTCTATTTTTATTAAAAATCTGTGTAATTTTGATTTAGGTCTAGTCATTAAGATTTTTCTGCAGTAAAATATTTTTCTTTGTTTGCTGTTCTTAGCCATGGATAGAAAAGAAAATATAGGTGTTTCCAATGTCTTTTTTCTTCTTCTAGGAATTGGCTATTCTATGTCACTCTTTGGCCCTGCCATTGGCTATGTATTGGGAGGACAACTGTTAAACATATACATCGATGTTGCTGTAGGACAGAGGCAAGGCAATTTCTTTCATTTCATTTTAATAATGGTAATGTCAGAGACAGAATGTTTTATCCTATTTACTCAGAATGGCCTGAGGGACATTTTGGGAAATGAAACTTGAACACACAATTTTTGAATGATATATTACGAAGACTTCATGAATCAATACTACAGTTTCCCTTTATTCATTTATAAGGATGTATAATGGAGTAACCTGGTAAATTAAAATGTGTATATATATATATATATATATATATATATATGGAATTTAATAACAGTTATGTTTTCATTAGATTTAGTTAGAGATAGCCTCCAGTGTCTCAAAAGGCTGTGATTCTCAGAATAAGTTCTCTGGTAGCTCTGATAATGGCATAGTGATCCCAATTATGTCACTTTAATAATTGTGACAGTATGATAATTATAGATAATTTTTATTCCACACTATTCTAAACATACAGTTTTTTCTTTTTTTTGGTGCTTGAAATCAAACTCAGGACCTCGCACTTGCCAGGAAGGCTCAGTGCCACTGAGCTGACTCCCCAGCTAAACATACATTTTTGCGTTAACTTACATCATATTATTTTATTCAATTCTCCCATAAACCTGTAAGGCAATTGATACCTATACATTAATAAAGGGTCAGCACATGATTTGAAGTAGAATTATTTATTCCCCAATCCCCTGTAACCACTGAGCTCCCTTCTTTTTCTAAGCTTAGATGTTAGTGACCTTGGATGAGGCCCCTTTTCTTATCTTACCATTAAGGAAGTGACAGATTGTAACTGCATACCCCTTGGCATGGCCAATGAATAAGCAACTGTGGTCCTAGATGTGAGATGTGTGCTCTCAGCTGTTAGTGCTAGGTTAGTATTTTAAAGACTGTTAAAAAGTGTACAGAAGTAATGCAGGAAGCGCTGAGCCAGGTTCTTAAGAAATGACATTTTAACCTTAATTGGAGGAATAGATAAGTTGTATGAGTGGTGTGTTTGGGAAAGAACCTGTTGATGTTAAAATTTGAAGGCTGTTCTACAAACTTTTAACAAATCATTTAATAGTTTTATATGTAAAGCAATGCCATAATGAAACTAGAGTGCATGGGCTTTTAACAGATCAGTGATTTGCTGTTGAGACATGTTTAATTTAATCCACACAGGAGAGGTGAAAATAGAGTAGCTAAAGTTAAAGAATGCTTAGGAATTTTACGTATGTTTTCAATGTATGGATGTTTTCACCATACTTATATTAACTGTTAAATATTTTAGACTTTGTCATATTTGTCAGTTTAAAATACTTTCTAGGCAGGGATTTAGCTCAGTGGTTCTGGCGCGTGTCTCGCAAGCTCAAGGTCCCGAGTTCGATCCCTGGCACCAAAAAAAAAAAAAAAAAGAACTGAATCCTTCATCATTTGGAGGAAATTTATGGTATTTTTATGGGCTGGGGATTTAGCTCAGTGGTTCCGCCGCCTGCCTCACAAGCAGAAGGACCCGAGTTTGATCGCCGGTACCAAAAAAACCCCAAAAAACAAAAAACTTTCTAAACCATTTTTCTTAAAATCCATTTATGTGTGCTGTTATTTGAATCAGCTGAATAGCTTCATTAAAATTTTTGATATTATAATAAAATTCTGCTGTATGCACTTGACTTATAAACCATACAATGACCTCAACTGAGTTCTAATTATCTGCATTGACTTTGACTTCTGTTTTCCTCTCGAGCAGCGCTGATGTCACTAGAGATGACCCGCGGTGGCTGGGGGCGTGGTGGATTGCATTTCTTGGGATCTGGCTCTTTGCTTGGTCTTTAATGATACCTTTCTCTTGCTTTCCAAAACATTTACCAGGTAAACTTACTTTCTTTGAATTCAGGATGTTTTATTCTAATTCTAGGCCAAGTGTTGTTTTCTACATGAGAAATGTGAAATAGATTGACCTTGTTTGCTTAACAGAACCTCAATTGTTGGCCTACACAGACTTTCAAATATCTATATTCATTTTAGCAAATACTGAGAAGCAATCTTAACATTTATGGGTTTTCTTTATTTTTAATTAAAAGTAAAACTGTTCATATCTTCTCTTTATCACTTAGTAAATTTGCTTATTATGTTTTATCTTGATTCCTGGCTTAAGTATATGCAAGGTAGAATATCTTTTAAACTATTAGTTTGTGTTCAGTTAGTCACTAATTTCAAGGACCAACCTGCCTCAAATCATTCATGTTAATTATTTGTAATTGAAAGTGCAAGTCCTTTGATTTTCAGTTACCACCAAAGTTATGCTGTAATATTCATTTTTACTAAATTTCAGTACTAGTCTCCTTATAAAGTAAATCTCTTCGGAAAATATCTACTCCTTTCTCTATGAGATCTGGTTTCTTTGATTAAAATGCATATTTGTAGAAGTATTTTCTGTAGGTTGAAGTATTTGTTTCCGTTGGTATTTTCAAGAGAATAGATGATTAACTTTTGTGCATAGGCATAATAGAACTTGACAGACGGAAAATAGGTGGACCATTCATTTCTTTATACCCTGAGCCATGCAGTTTCTAATTCTGTGTGTTGACTGTTTTCTCAGATTTATTAGTACTATTATTAAAAATCAAATTGGTACTACTATTGAAAATCAAAGTAACACAGTGATAGATGGCAAATACTATTTTATCTGTTAAGCGTATTTTTTTTCTTAAGGGAGCAGAGGGAAAAAGCCATAAATATAGTTTTATGTATATAAATGATGAAGAAAAAGAACCATTTGAAAGAGAAAGAAATTTAAGATTTTAGAAGGACAGAATATGTGTTGGGAAAAAAATGTGTCATTTTAATACTTAGACAGGTTGGCACTTCCTTAGTATTGGTGAATACCCGCTCCTAGCACACTCTAATTACAACCACAGATATTTGAACAGGTTTGTACACAGAGAGGAACTGATCTCTTGTGTTATGGAATTTATATATTTGTGGAAGTATATGTCAATTAAAAAGGAATCATACTACTCTGCCATAAAGAAGGAAAAACTTGAGACATTTTTAGGTAAATGCCTGCACCTTGAGACTATAATTTTAAGTGAAATAAATCGGACGCATATGTTTAAATATTGCATTATTTCTCTTGCGTGAGAAACCCAAAAGGTACATAAGGAGCCAAATGGAAAATAGCTATTGGGAAGTAGGAAGAAAAAGTTCAAAAGGGAAAGGGAACAAGGAGGGAAGAGGGGAAAGGGAAGGGAGGGAACAGGGCTTAAAAAAAGAATGGAAGGGAAAAAAATAAAATGAGTGAAGTGATAAAGCAAACAAGTTTACTGTATTTGTAGGTACAGCCAAAATTCAAGCTGGAAAAATTTCCCAGACTCATCAGAGTAAAAGTAGTTCCTTGCCACACATAGATGATTTGGGGCAAAGTATTAAAGATTTTCCAGTGGCTCTAAAGGTAAAATAAAACAGTTTCTCTTTTGCTGTCTCTCTCTCTCTCTCTCTCTCTCTCTCTCTCTCTCTCTCTTTTTTTATGTACCAGGGATCGGACTCGGGACCCTGTGGTTGCGAAGCAGGTTGCAGAACCATTGAGCTAAATCCCTGGCCCCTGTCTCTTTCTATCTTGCATGTACACTTGTACACAAGTACATATGTATGTATGTGTTGCATACAAATAGCTGAATGTTCATACAGATACACAATATACACACATACACTCCCACACAGATCTTTTATTATTATTATTATTTTTTTAAGGTACCAGGGATCGAACTCGGGACCTTGTGCTTGTGAGGCAGGCTGCAGAACCACTGGGCTAAATCCCTGGCCTATTGTGTATTTTTATTTGGTTACTTACTGCCATTCAAGAGTTGTAGAAACAACTCTTCAATTCAGTTTGTTTGTTTGTTTGCTTGTTTGTTGGGACCGACCTTGAACTAATAGGATCCTTCTCCCTCAGCCTCCCCAGTGCTGGGATTCCAGGATTGCACCACCACGCCTGGCAGTTTTTGTTTTTTGGAGATAGTGTCTCACTATGTAGTGTTGTGCCCAGATTGTGAAGTCCCAGAGACCACCAGGAGGCCGTTTTCGATGTAAGCACACAAGGGTCGTTTATTCAAGCTTAAGCAGGGACTCTCAACTGTCACCGACACAGCGGATCGAGATTGAGAGCCCTGAGTCCCTAACTAGCAGGGTTTTTATTGAGAATACAACAAGCTTTGGTTATTAGTAGCCAGGTGATTGGTTAATACTCAATACATATGAAGTGTAGGGTTTTGGTTGGCTAGGCTTTTGGGGTCGAAGGGGATTACGTATTGGTTTTTGTGAGGGAGAAAAGGGGCAAAGATTAACGGCCGGTTGTTACATACTGATCGTTAGCAGACCCACTAATGGCCGCATCTATCTTGTGTGGACAGTCAGCTCATTAACTGCTTATCCTACAGATAGTGTGCCTGGAACGCTCTCTCCCCGGGTACACAGGTGGTTGGGTAATAAACTCAGGAATTTTAAGTGGTGAATTCCTAGTTTAAGCACAAATTTGAGAGAACAAAGGAGACGGCTCCAAAATGGAGTCATTTTGGTCCCACAGTAGCCCACGCACCTCAGACTTTCAGTCTTTCTGCCTCAGTCTCCAGGGAGCGCTGACATCACAGATGTGTACACCATCACACCCAGCCAGGTTATTTTACTGTGCTTTGGGTAGAACTGTTCCAGGGTAGGATAACTGAAATTGCATGAGTCATTTTATTGGCGGTATCAGTGTTTCATGGTTCTTTGTTACCTTTCAGCCTCTCCTTCCATAGACACACATGTTCTTGTACAATTGTTTATAAGTTTAATTCCAACTATTATTAGCTCTTATAGGACTACTGTTTTGTGCATGTTATAAATTCTAATTTACATCATCATCAACAGTCATTACTCACCATTGCTCTTTTTTAATCCTTATAGCCTCCTGCATAGGGATTCCTATTCTAATTCCTATTCTGATTCCTATTCCGAGGTCTTATGGGTGCAGCCTTTTGTTCTTGGGCTAGGATCTCACCTAAGTACCCTTGCATGTCTCAGAGATATTTCTGACCACATGAATACTTTCAACCCACTTCCCTGTCATCTCAGTAGTCTCTGATATTCTGTGCTTTTCTTTATTTAAATGTGTGGCCTGTGTGTATGAGTTTGACTTGCTCTTTCCATGTGTAAGTTTGTAAATTTTTAAAATCTATGCTTGACTCTAGGAAATTTACAGGGTGATGGCTAAGTTTAAAGACTCTGAGAGGTTTGCAAGTACGGGAAGCTATTTCAGGATGCTCAGCCCCACACCCGTCTAAGGTTCTTGATGACTGTGTCCTTTAACCACGGAACAGTACCATGACTTTGGTCCTTAGCATGTCCAGCTGTGCTCACCGTCTCAAGTTCACTCAGTGGACAAAGGAATTCAGAACACAGTTTTCTTTTTCATTCATTCACTATTGGTACATTTTAGGTATACAATATGATGACATTCATCATTGAGAATTTATACCTTTATGTAAGCTCTCTTGGTTCTTCTCTTTTTTTTCCCCTCCCCCTGCCCTCCCTTCACCCCCTCCACTCCTCTCTATTTACAAAGACTTTGTTTCCATTTTTTCCTTTTCTCATATTTATTCCTTCCCCTTCTTTTCTTTCCCCTCCCCCCTCCCTCTTGCCCTTCCCCTTTGGACCTTTTCTTCCTATTTCCCATTATCACAATTATTTTTGGTACTGGGGATCGAACTCAGACCCTTGTGCTTGCAAGGCAGGCGGGGGCACCACTGAGCTAAAACCCCGACCCCGATTACCACAATTTAAAAAATCAAATAAGTGGTAGATTTGCACTGTGAACATTCATAGTTTAGACTGGGGAAGGAAGCCTTTCCAAATAGGCTTTTGCCCCCTCTCCCTGGCCCTTCGAGTGTGATAAAAGCAAAATCATTTGTCAGTCGTCTAGGTGCTCCACCTATTAATTATCCATAGCTAGATTTTTATGATATAATGCTATAATTTTTAAAAATAATTATATTATGTGTATTTAAGTTTTTGCCATTTCATTTTGCTATCATTTGAATGCTACACTTGGTAATATGATCATAGCTATTTATTTGGTGAACTGTATTTTTTTCTTTAGAATTTGATGAGGAATACTGTCTTTATATGTTTAGTTCTATCAACTTCTTCAGAAGGCTTAATTACTACTGGATTTGCTACATTTTTACCTAAATTTATAGAAAATCAATTTGGACTGACATCCAGCTTTGCAGCTACCATTGGAGGTAAAATATTTTCTTTATTCTCATTTTGTCTAATAATTTACTTTACTCCTTAAATTTTAAATATATGTGTGTGTGTGTGTGTGTGTGTGTGTGTGTGTGTGTGTGTATGTGAGATTTGGATATCCCACACCCTGAAATTTATACCTTACTATGATTTTAAGTTTCTGATTTCCTGAAGTCAGACAATTTATTGTATGAAGTCAGAGAGACAGAGCCTACACATTAAATAGAAATCTTAATGCTCAGTGTTTAACTTACTAAGCCCTCACTTAATGGAACTATGAAGTCATTTATGCATATATTTCTGTGTTGGACAAAGACTTGTATGTGTTACAGCCCCAGTGGTGTTTGTTTTGATGCTTTCTGTCAGTATGAGTTACTGAGTGTACTTGTGTGTTTTCTCTCTGCTTTTCCTCATTAGGAGCCGTTTTAATTCCTGGAGCTGCCCTTGGTCAGGTTCTAGGTGGTGTCATTGTTTCAAAATTCAAAATGACATGTAAAAATGCCATGAAGTTTGCCTTAGTCTCTTCAGGAGTTGCACTTGTGCTGACTTTAATACTCATTTGTGCCAAATGTGAAAATGAGCCATTTGCAGGCATCTCTGAGTCATATAATGGGTAAATATATTCCAGTGCTTTTTCCTATTAATATCAGAATAAGAAACTGTGTATCCATTTTAAAATCAAATGATAAGGAATTGACTTTGTAAAAATATTAAGCTTTTTAAAAATGTAAGAATGTGTGTTTAGATTAAATAACATAGCTTCTTAGAAGTTGTTACTATGTATTCAAAGACTGTCTAAGAAACAATTACCATGTGCTGGGCAGTGTGCTTAGCTTGGGTACAAAGACTGATACAACAGAAATTTTGCCTTTGAGAAACTGGCATCTGCTATGGTTTGAATTTGTTTCCCAATAGTTCTTGTATTGGAAATCACCCCCAATTTCAGATGTTAATTGTATTTGGAGGTGAAGCTTTTGAGGAATAATTACGGTTAGAAGAAGTCATGAAGGTAGTGCACCCCATGATGCCATCAGTAGCTTCATTAAGATGAGGAAAAGAGATCCAAGCCAGCTTGCTTGGTCTGCCTTGCCATATGATGCCCTCCGTGATGTACACATAAACGTGCTTTATAAATTATTGAGTAATTTGATTTTTTTTTTTGGTACCAGAAATCCAACTCAGGTCCTTGCACTTGCAAGGCAGGTGGCGGAACCACTGAGCTAGATCCCTGGCCCTCGAGTATTTTGATACAGCAGGAAAAACAGACTAAGAAAACATCTTAGGGAGAATTTCACATTATGCTTCCATTAATTAAAAAAATTAAGAAATGAAAATTGTTCCTTATGAAAAATCATCTTAATAGATAGTTGGAGAACGGACTAGAAGAGATATTAAAATAAGGACAGTATAGTATTAGGTGTTACTGTATATTTAATTTAAACTTCAGGGCTTTTATACAGAAATAAAAACTTCTTAATAACTTAGCTTGCCTTGTAGAGTTTCTGCCTAAACTATCTTAACCATTCATCTTTCCTCCTTTGCTTGTTTTGTTTGGCTTTGAAATCCTAAGCCCAGGAGTAAGGGTTCATACAGAAGGGCTTTGCACAGTAGTGTATTTTAAAGCTCCCAGTGTTACTTTACTTATTTTATTACATGGGCATGAAGCTGGTGAGGGGGGTGGTACCCCAGGCCCAAGACTCCATAATTTTGTGTAACCCACCACTCAGATGACATAAATGGAGTGTAATTCACTTGGCGATGTTTGCCAGTAATGATAATCATGGGTTGCAGTTGCCATTCACATGTGTGCTGTCATTCACGTTATGTGAGGCTGAGTGTTCTGAAGCAGTGTTTGGTTAAGCTCCATTACATGTATTATTTATTTAGCATTTATTGAATGCTTCCTCTGGCAGACCTTTGTGGCCAAGTGTGTGTTCTAAAGGAGAGACTGGAAAACAAAACAGTGAATGAACAGTGACTTAGGAAATTGAGGATATAGAAGGGACTATGGAATTCAAAAGAAAGAAAGCTTTTCAGTTTTAGTTGACTACATTCAGGAAAGGATCCATGGCCCAATAGTGGAATTGGTTTAAATACCCTTTAGGGCTACAAAGAATTCTCAGATGTAAAGATTTGAGAGGAAAGAAAGGCAGAGGGAACGTGCTAAGCATAGGGTATAAGTGCTATAAAAAGTGAAGTCTAGGTCCAGGGATCAGTTTGAATGGGGCGTAGGTTATGTGTCTGAAATAGTAGAAAAATATCTGGAAATGCAGATAAAGTTGTGCAGACCTGACTTTTACCCCCTAAAGCTTTACCCAAACTTATCCCAACAAACCACTTTCTCTGTATATTCCTTTTAGAAAGACAGAAAATCCTGAATAGTTGAGCACACAGTTTATCACTCTGAGCAACAAAGTAGGTATCAGTCCATTCATTCTTTTCTAGTTTACACAAGAGTTACTGCCAGATGTGCAGCATCAGAAAGTAAGGGAAATGTGATGGTATCCGCTTGAGGTGTTGTCAGCATGGGTCATGAAGATGCATCCAGAGCTGGAGCATAGAGATCATGCTTAATGTGCATGTACATTTCTTAGTGATGGAAAAACTGACAGTGAGTGTAACACACCTACACACATTCACCTGTGTTTATGTATGTGTGTATATATCTATATTTATATCTATAGCTATTGATCTATTGATAGATATAAATATAGAGACAGGGTTCATGTCACAAAGTAGTATAATACTTAAAATTAGTTTATTATTCACCCTTTGGGTGAAACACTAAATTCACTTGCATGTTTGCAAAAGTCTATTAGTTATTAAAATTGCCCATTATTCTTGTAGTGCCTTGCTGATCTTTTCTATAGTATTTTGGCATCTTATTTTGATAATGATGATTTGGGCTGCAGTCTGGAGCCTACCCTGGGCAGCTCAGTGACTTAGTGAGACCCTGTCTCAAAATAAAAAGAGTGAGGCCTAAAGCTCAGTTGGAAGACCAAGTACTATGCAAAGCACCTAGCTCTTACCCTGTGCGATTCGCCTTCTCTGTGCGCACAAGGGGAGGCGCCATTAACTTGTCCACCCTTTAGAGAGGCGCACTGATTATGTATCCAGAATCTTTCTCCAGTGTTTCCTGCAATCCTGGCTTGTATTTTAGCTCTCCTTTAACTTACCGTCACCTGTTGCTCAGGGTATCATCATTGGTCTCCTTCCTTCAAGTTCATATTCTAGACAACTTCTAGGATTAGGTCTTTAAAACGAACATTTGAGAATACCACTTTCCAGACTGAACATACATCAGTGATTATCTCTTGCCCGTAGGTCTGAGTTTATTGTTTTTAACAAGGCCCGAGAGGCCCTCGTTAACCGGGTCCCTGATTGCTGTCCAGCAGCGTTTCCCTATCGCTTTCAGCCCCAGTGATGGTCCATACTGCTCCACGCAGTGCTAGCTAGTCAGACCTCAAGGACTTTGTATCAGCCTTTGTTGAAGCTCTCTCCTCCTTCCCCATGGCCAGACCATTACTCATCCTTTAAGGGACATCTCAGGCAGTAGCCTCTCCATCCCCTTTTCCAAACTTCAGCTTGTGTTCCGTGTCCTGTGTCGTTGCATCTACAATGAACTCTGCAGATGTCAGTAACCACAGCTAGCATATTAGTATCTAATTATCTATGTACAGCTCTACTCTTGGACCATGAAATTTTTGAGGATGTATACTATCTTATCCAGCTTTCTCTTTCCATTACCAGCATAGGGCGTAGCACTTGGTCTATATGTGCAGTTGGGAGAATAAATTAATGAGGCATGGGAGAAGCATCTTTAATTAGAGTAATCTTTTGTATCATGAAAGATATTGCTTCTGTGAAGAGGCAGAATGAAGCAACACTGGGAAAATTATATTTGGCAAGGAAATAAAAGTCACTTAATCTCTCTAGGCCTTAGTTTTTCCATTGGTAAAGTGACTAGGTAGAATTCACACTTTTAGGTTTAATATTTTTCCAACTTTCTGGAGATATTTGGCTGCTATAATTAACATGAAAGCTACTGGCCTCTGGTGGGTGGAGGTTGGGAATGCTACGAAATAGCTCACTGTCTGTAGACCCAGGGCCCCGCTGCCTGGCACCAAAGGAGAAACCTTGCTTTCTTCACTAACTCTGCTTTATGTTTCGTATCACTGACAGAAATCACTGTTGTTTTAACTGCCTGTCCCTCATGAGAAATTAAGCTTAGACAAAAAGGCAGAAATATTACTTGATTTGTACATTGTGGGTAATTATGTGTTGGGCAAGTGAATGAATGACTGAATGGCAAGCTGTAACAATGCTTCTGAACTGTTTGTTAATGGTGATGACATAGATAGCCTCACCTTCTGCCTTTTCTTGTTTACAGGACAGGAGAACTGGGAAACTTAACAGCCCCTTGTAATGCCAACTGTAGCTGTTTGCGATCTTATTATTATCCACTGTGTGGAGGAGATGGAGTCCAATATTTTTCTCCCTGCTTTGCAGGTTGTTTAAACTATGTTTCAAACAGTAAACCAAAGGTAACTGTGCCTTTTGCTTTACCCCTCATGAGATGTCCTGGTGTAATTATGATTATCCTGATCCCTCTAGTGGGATTGCACTGTGCCTGTTTCCTTTCTGTGCCACTCTTCTATTATGTAACTCAGGTTATGAGTAGTAGGTAAAACAACGTGCTTAGTAGATAATGTGATATCTTTAAAAGTGCTTGGTAGCAACATTATAACACACTATAATGAATAAGTTATATAAGAATCATATGACAATCTTGAATATGGGAACTATGGGATAAAAAATGGCACTGCTTTTCCTATTTAAAGACAAGTGGAAAGCTATAAGATTTCTGCAAACATAGGTAGAAATAATTGGAATAATCTATAAAAGTGCTACAGATTTCTTTCAAAACCAACATGGATGCACATGTATGTAAAATTAATACACTTTTTAATGTTCATATTTGTATTGTAAATACACATATATACTTAGCTCTAATGAGCTTAGGTATAATAAATACTTCAAAAGTTTATCTAGCCAGGCATGGTGGCGCACACCTGTAATCCCAGCACTTGGGAAGAAGAGGCAGGAGGATTGCCTTGAGTTCAAGGCCAGCATGACTACACAGTGAGTTCAAGGCCAGCCTGAACTAATAGTGAGACCCTGTCTCAGAAAACCAAATAAATAATTAAATAAAATAAAAGTTTATTTCAATAGATTAGGGTTTTTTTCTGTATTAAATTCTTTCATTGGTACATTGTAGGTATACAACACAATTACATTTCTCATTGGGAATTGTACCTTTACATAATGCATCTTGGTTCTTATTTTTTCCCCATTCCTAGCCCTCCCTTCACACCCTCCACCCTTCCCTATTTACAAAGACTTTATTTCCATTTTTTCCATTTCTCAGCATTTTTTCCTTTCCCTTCTTTCCTTTCCCCTGCCCCTCCCACTACCCCTACCCCTTTGGACCTTTTCTTCCTATTTTACATTATCGATTATTCATTCTGATCATTGGTACATTTTAGGTATACAATATAATGACATTCATCATTGGAAATTTGCACCTTTACTTAATCTCTCTTGATTCTTATTTTTCACCCTTGCCCAGCCCTCCCTTCAACCCCTCCAGTCCTCCCTATTTACAAAGATTTTGTTCCTATTTTTCCATTTAATAGGTTAGGTTTTCATCTTCTTGGTGGGGGTAAACCAAAACATGATAAACAATGAACTTTCTTTTCATATTATCTGGCCAAATTATCTTAAGAATATTGGAAAATCTACCATAGTAGACCTACTAGACTAGCATGATGTGTGCAGTTTTAACTTCTGGAATTAAACTCATTAGAGCATTATGAAAAAGTACCTATAAAAATATGAAAACTATGAAAATATAATAAAACACTTCAGGAAGAGTTTCAGAATTTAATTCCAAAACTGAGGGCCACCTACCCTGAAACCAGTGGGCATTAGGGTTGCTTTTGTTTCAAAACACCTTTAGGAAACTGCACACAAGGGATCAAATTCTGCAGATGAGCATGATGGTTATCTCAGAATCACCTGACAGGTAACTAACTGCTCCTTTGAGATATGAAAAAGTAGGTAGTATTTTCTTGTATATAAATATGAATGAGTTATTACAAGGTCTTAACTTATATAACTGAGGTCGTATAGAAACAGAACACCATTCTGATGAGGAGAAAACAAAAGGTCAAATACCCAGAGCCCACTTGAAATGGTATTCTTTTGATATGGTTAATGTATTAGCATTTTTGGCCTGTGCTAAATTAATCTCCATCTCTCAGCACATTGCCTTCTAGGGATTGTACAGGAAGAGCAAGTTATTCAGACTTCCAGGTTTCCTCTTTGTCTATTATTTTTAGGCCCACATATTCCATGTCACAACCCAGTGCTTCACAAGCATTTTTTCATATGGAATATTTCAGACAGGCAAAATACTTATATAATAACACGTATACACATTTTTGTAGGAAAATTAATCTTACATTTTATACCAGTGACCCAAACTACAAAATCGCATTTTGATGAAGAGATGTATTACAGGCAAATACATAATAAGACAGTTACAATTGTGATCAACACAGACAATCTTCATCTCAGTTTTCCTTGTGAAATTCTTTTTTTTTTGCTTAAATTCTTTTATTGGTACAGTTTAGGTATGCAATACGTTTACATTCATCTTTGGGTGCTTGTACCTGTACATGGTGTATCCTGGTTCTTATTTTTTCCCCATTCCCTGTCTGCCCTTCACCCCTCCACCCTTCCCTATTTGCATGCTTAGTTTCCATTTTTTTTTCTTTTCTCATAATTTTTCCTTTCCATTCTTCCCTTTCCCCATCTCCTCCCACCACCCCTACCCCTTTGGACCTAGGATTAAAAGGTTTAAGAACTAATAATTGATACTTTGAAATAGGAAAAGGTCCTTGTGAAATTCTTAAAGGCTAAATTACTCCATTACTTTGTATATCTGATTGCTTACTAGAGACAGTGTTGGAGGTGTCCTCAGTATATTTGGTTTTCTTGAATCAGTTCTATGATTGTGCTAGTCCTAAGAAAAAGTCTGGCTATTGGAACAGTCAAAACACCACTTCTCCTTAACTTTCCTGCTCTTTCCTCTCTAATTTTATTGAGCTTTTAAATGTGTAAGAAGATTTATAGTAAGACTGGAGCTGAGATATAAAATGTCTTTAAATAATTGCATCTAACAAACTTTTGGAATATCTGAATTTTTTTTCTACAAAGATACATTTTTTTCAATCATGGTAGCTTTCACCATTTTTCATTATTAATATATCCATAAATATATTAGTATGTATATATGAGAAATAGTTATTTTATTAGATTATAAAATAGCCTTCAGGATGAGGTAGTAGCTTCTATTTTTATAGTTATTAAAGTATCATTTTAAGATTAGTTTGCTTTCAGTTAAGTAATTCAGAGAAGTCAAATTATTGTTAAAATTTTATCACTAAAAGCAGCAATTTTTATCAGTCATAGGACATAGTTTTATTATGACACTTGTCAAAATTATAGTGTTTGCTCTTTGAAATAATGCAGATAGTGAAATTGTAACTGTAGATGCCTTTTTTCTTCTTATAATGGAAAAGAAGAATATTAGCCGTAAGACATTATTTGATTTACTATGGTTAGTGGAAAGTAGTTGAGAATGTGTGAGATTGTATAACTGTTATATTCTCACCAATTTGTTTTGGGAGTCACAAACCAATAATAAGTTACGAGTTGCAGTAATGCCATAAAAGTCAAATTCAGATGATTAAACTTTGTAAGTATTGTTTCTTTCTACTTCCTTAATTTCCTAAGGTTAATTACTCCACAGAATTACTTATTGTGTATGGATCAGGAGAGTCTGAGAGTGTTTGCTATGTCTAGAGATCATCTGATTTACAGTGACAAAAATATATTTTCTAAATAAACGCTTTCAGTATGTTTATGTCTAATATTTTCAGATATATTACAACTGTTCCTGTATTGAAAGGAAGACAGAGATAACATCTGCAGAAAGTGTGGGCTTTGAAGCTAGAGCTGGAAAATGTGAAACTCACTGTGCAAATTTGCCCATATTCCTTGGCATTTTTTCTATTACAGTGATTTTTACCTTTATGGCTGGTACTCCTATAACTGTATCCATATTGAGGTATGTATTGCGTTGTGAAATTTTCATTCCCTAAGGCAACATGTTGAGTGCAAACAAAATTAAGTGAGGGGTTCAGTCGGAGCTTCTATTGACCATTGGTGAGCAGAGTCACCCCTTAGAACAACATCATCTCTGTGTCGTTAAGAAAGCTACCTCACAGAACCCCAAGTGTTTGAAGTTTGAGTGGGATAGTGTGTGTGAAAGTGCCTTAACAGTGCCTGTGTGGTATGCGCTTGGAGCTAGTTTTTCTGATTGTTTTGTGGCACTTCAGTGGTGAGCTGGAGAAAGGTACACTGTAGTTGAGTTTCATAACAATCAGATGCACTCCACATAACCCAGAATCAGAGTGACACACACTCTGCCTTAAATACTGAGAACTTGGACAGTAGATCATTCTAGAAACAAGGCTAATCAATACAGTTAGTGGTCACCTGGCTGTTAGCCACTGTTTTGTATTTTCCATTGCTCTTCTTCCTTCTATTTTGCTTTCAAAACTAACTTTCCTATGTGCCCTCTCATAGATTCAGTAGCCTTTTTATATCTTTCCTAAGGGCTCTTTCACTTTACTGTATTTCGTTCTCACTTCTTTTCATATATTTGAAAATGAAAAATTCATGAATTGAAAACTAATAATATTAAATCATTAACATTACACTACATGGAAATTGAAGCTATTTAGAGAAAATGCTTTTTAAATTTTCATTTTTGAAAATTACACAAATCACTGTTCAACTACTTGTTTTGTTAAAAGACTATTTTTTCTCTCACAACTCTTGTGTGCTGATATCCTGTCTCATTAATCTTTGGTGGTCATTACTTAAAGAATTATTGTTGGGTAAGATTGCGCCTCAATTGATCTTCAGCTGAGCTTCAACTGAGCTGTTTTATGTTGTCTTAAATTTATACCTTTATCTCATTGGTAGAATTTCAGTGTCAAAGATAGTAAGAGTTAGACTAAGAATTATGTGCTTACAGTTTAGGTTAATGGCAATAGTTTAAAAAATTATTACTATTAGTTTTTAAAAAATTATTTTTGGTATAAACACAAGTTTAACAATTTTTTCAGACTTAGAAGTATAAATGGAAAATAACATTTGTATATATTTAAGGAATATTTTGAAATAAATACACACTGTAAAGTGATTACTGCAATCATGCTACTGTCCTATCCATCACTCCACATCATTATCAGTTGTGTGTGTATGTGTGTATGTGTGTGATGAGAACATTTCAAATCTACTCTCTTAGCAGATTCAAGTATGTCACACAGTATTACTAACTGCAGTCACCAAGCTGTGTATTTCATCTCCAGAACTTACCCTGCATAATTGAAATTCCTACCCTTTAACATCAGCTCAATCCTTTTCCCTCAGCTCCTGGCAGTCACCACTCTCCATTGTACTTGTGTGAACTTGATCCCTTTAGTATCCACATAGGAGTGAGCTCATGGAGTAGTAGTTTGTCCTTGTCTGGTTTACTTCAGTTAGCGTGTAATCCACCTTTATCCATGTTGTCAAAAATGGCAATATTTCCATTTCTTTTTGAAACTGACTAGTGTTATGTAATAGAGTTTCTTTATTCATTCACTGATGGACACTTAATTTTCAACTTTTTTTTTTTTTTTTTTTTTTGTGGTACCGGGGATTGCACTCGGGTCCTTGTGCTTGTGCAGCAGGTGGCAAAACCACTGAGCTAAATCCCCAGCCCTGGACACTTAATTTGACTCCATATCTTTGCTATTGTGAATAATACTGAAATGAACATGGGAGTGCATAAATATCTTCCACCTACTGATTTCATTCCTGTAGATATGTCCCTATGTGTGAGATGCTGGATAACAAGATAATTCTATTTTTTAATTTTTTGAAGACTCTTTATACTACCTTCCATAATGGCCATACCAATTTACACTTTTTCAAACAGTATTCAATGGTTTCCTTTTCTCTATATCCTTGCCAATATTTGTGGTCTTTTATCCTTTTTGTAACAGCCATGCTAACAGGTGTGAGGTGATAGCTCATGATTTGATGTACATCTCCCTGATAATTAGTAGGATTTTACCTAAAAAAAATCATTGTCCAGACTAAAGTCAAGAAACTTTACCCCTATGCTTTTTGTAGACATTTAACAGATTCAAATCTTATGTGTAAAGTCTTTAGTACAGTTTGAATTGATTTGGGGATATGGTATGAGACAAAGGTCCAGCTTTGTTCTTTTTTATATAAATATCCAATTTTTACAACTTCGTTTATTGAGTAAATTCTTTTTTCTGTATTATGTGATAGATACTTGATACTCTTGTCAAAGATAAATTGACTATAAATATATAAATGTATTTTGCAGCTCTCTGTTCTTTGTTTTTTTTTGCGGGGGAGGTACTGGGCATTGAACTCTGGACCTTGCGCTTGTGAGGCAGGCAGCGGAACCACTGAGCTAAATCCCCGGCCCCAGGGGCTCTCTGTTCTATTGGTCTTATGTATATTTCTATGCCACACCTTTTCTCTTTTGATATCCATAACTTGGTACTATATTTAAAAATCTGGTAGTGTGATGCCTGCAGCTTTGTTCTTCTTGTGCAACATTGATTTAGCCATTGTAGGTCTTTTGTAGTTACATATGAATTTTAGCATTGTGTTTTCTATTTCTGTGAATGATACCATTGGCATTTTGATTAAGAAAGTATTGAATCTGTAGATTGCTTTTGGTAGTATGGAATTTTAGCAATGCTAATTCTTTCAGTTCAAGAAAATAAGATGTCTTTCCACTAATTTGTGTCTTCAGTTCATTAATGTTTAATTTTTTTAAATTTCACTTTTTAAATTGGATTTATTCCGAAGTATTTTATCTTCTGATGCTATGGTAAATGGGATTGTTTCCTTAGTTACTTTTTGGTATATTTCACTGTTAGTATATTGAAATGCCACTTAATTTTTGCTGATTTTGTATCCAGAAATTTTACTAGTTTCCTGATGGAGTTTCTAGGGCTTTCTATATGAAAGTTCATGTCATTGTGAAACTAAGACTTATTTCCTCCCTTTTCAATTTGGATGGCTTTTATTTCTTTTTCTTACCAAATAACTTAGTCCAGAAATTTGGGTACTACCTGGAATTGAAGTTGTGAGTGTGGACATCATTGTCTTACTCCTTGTCTCAAAGGAAGGCTCTCAGATTCTCACCACTAATTGCGATACTAGTGCAAATTGTCATGTTGCTTCAGGATGCTAGAATACATCACCTCTGTATCTAATTTATTGACAGGTTTTATGAAAAGTAACTTCTTGTCAATTCTTGTCAATGTCTTCTCTCCTTCACCTGTGTTAAAATTCATAGGGGTTAGTGCCTTTTTGTTATTTGCAATATTTTAGTTTTGATAACATTTTTCTTCTTTCATAAACCCAGAATGATTAAACTACTTATAAGTTCATACAAGTAATTTACTGTATTTTATATGCACAAAATTAGTTTGATATAGAAATGCTAAACTGATAAAGATATGAACTTGCTTAAAGAGTGAATATACAGCTTTAGTGTCTCATCAATGTTTAATATTTCCAGGTGTGTTGATCAGAGGCAACGGTCTCTAGCATTGGGAGTACAGTTCATGTTGCTTCGATTGCTGGGTGGGTATGCCATTGTATTTAATTCAACGTTAAGTGTTGGCTATTTTGTTTCATAGATGTTATTGATTTATTCGTATGCAGCATGTGTCAAGAAAATGATTAAAGGGGGAGACTATATAATTGTCATTGAAAAAAGCTTTTCCAGAGTTCAAGATGTAGTATTACTTTTATATCACATGAGAATGGAATGCTTTTACTTTTCATCCACCTGATTTGTTACCTTCTGTTTCTGAACCTATTCTAAATGTAACCTTAAAAGTTATACCTCAGGGCCAGGGTGCCAGGTGCCTGCCTCACAAGTGCAAGGTCCTGAATTCCATCCCCGGTACCAAAAAAAGAAAAAAAAGTTATACCTCATTCATTTGAAAGATAAAATACATTTTGAGCAATGCATTCTTTTCTTTGGGCTTTTATCTCCATTTGCAACACTATTGTGTTATATTAGAAATGAAAAACAATGAGTTAAAACCTTTCAAAAGTAACTGCGATGTAAATAACATGACTAGATAATGTTTGATGAAAGAAAAGATTTATACCAAATTTTACAAGGCTCCAGATGTAGGAAAAGTAAGAAAAAAGAAACATAAAGAAGTAAGATTCAGATCATTTATTAAAGTAACAACAAAAAGCTAAAATCACTTGCCTAACTTTCTCATTTTTCAAATAAGTAAATTAGGGATAAGTAAATTAAGATTCAGCATTTTGTCCATAGTCACACATTTAACAGTGGAAATGAGACTAGCATAATGGTTTTAGTCAGGTGCACTTTTGGCTACTATTGTGCTAATGGTAGGTCATGAAGAAACAGATCTCAGTGATACTACCTCAAATCATGTAACGTACTCGATTTGTAACAAACACAAGATCCTTAACTAGAGTCATCCCTCCATTTCCTTGGAGGATTGAGTCTACCACCTTGCTGATACCAAAATCCTTGATTCCTCAAGTCTCTTATAAAAATGGTACACTGTTTGAATATAACCTATGCCTTGCCCTTCTCTTGTATATACTTTAAACTTACATACCTTAATGCATCTCTAAATCACTTACAGTACATAAAACAATTCAAATGCTATGTAAATAGTTACTGTATTGTGTGAGGAATAGTGACAGGAGAAATATAATAAACATTTTCAGTAGTGATGCAATACTGGGGGAATATTTTCAATCTGCAGTTGGTTAAATCTGCCAGTGTGGAACCTGCACAACCAACCATACATGGAAATTTAGAGCTTGGTGCCTGAAATAAGTGAGACATGTGAGCTTAAATCTCACATGATGTCTCTTATATGAGAAACCCAGAATATAAATAAATTAAAGAAGAAAATAAAAGGTGGATAAGAGGAAACAGGGAGATAGATCTTTTCCAAAAGGGAAGAGGACCAAGAGATAGAGTGAGGGGTAAGAGGGGAGAAAGGAGTGAAAAAGAATCAAGATGTGCTGTGTACATGTATCAACCCCTCATGATGAATGCAATCACTATGCACTGCAAACATGTACTAATAGAATAAAATGAGAAAGAACAGCAAAAATAAAAATTTGAAATAAGCAATACTGCGGGGCATATTAGCATGGAGTTATATTTGTATCTGAACACATACACGCTCATGCATGCATATTCATAATATCATGTTTGTACACATAAGTCCCCGTTAGTTTATATCTGTGTGCATATCCCTAACAATACATAGTTCAGCAGACTTATTTGTGCACCAAGAATAACTTGTTTGATTTTTTTTGAAACTATAATAGCTAATTTCAAGGGCACATTCATTTATCACATTATAAAAGCAACAAATTAAAATATTTACTAAACTTAATATTAACTCAATATATGCTAGAGATGTTTATTAAAATGTTGTTTGAATTGACTAGAAATATAAAATTATACATAACCATCTAAAATATTTTTTCTGTGCTTCTTTATATCCCTTTGGCATGTACATGAATTGATTAATTTGCACATTGACAGCCTTTTTATCAACATAAAGATGTTATAAACCTGTGACTATAAATCTTTTTTTTTTTTTTTTTTTGATACCAGGGATCAAACCTGGGTCCTTTTGCTTGTGGGGCAGGCGGCGGAAACACTGAGCTAAATCCTTGGCCCAGATAAACCCTCTTTTTTTTTTGGTACTGGGGATCGAACTTGGAACCTTGCACTGCCCAGGCAGGCGCCGGAACCATTGAGCTAAATCCCTGGCCCCTGTGACTATAAATCTTTACCTATTTGTATTTTGCCTATGTTTCTTCTAGGTGCAATACCTGGACCGGTTATATTTGGTGCCACAATCGACAACACGTGTACACTGTGGGACATTAATGAATGTGGAATTAAAGGTGCTTGCTGGGTCTATGATAACATCAAGATGGCCCATATGCTCGTAGCCATAAGTAAGTGACTTCTTGATAACTCTGCAGCAAAGGAGTGTTGGGTCAGAAAACCTTGCCCTTGGTTACTTAGATAACAGCTCTTCTTGGAATGTTCGTTCCACACTGTTGGGGATCAGTTATCACAGCACCTCATGAGAGGTTTTGAAGGAAGTCTGCAAGTCCCAGTCTTAAAAAGAAGAAAATAAAACCCTAGCTTTCATTACATCACATATCATATGTCTTGCTTTTAACATTTTCTCTCAGATTTGGGAAGAAGGTATACCCAAAAGCTTAAGGAGAATTCTGCGAAACTCTCTGGAATGATTGTAAAACATAGAGCTGCAATAGAGAAGTGTCCGTTGGCTCTAAAATGTATTGTAAGAAACTTTTTATAGTTTAGAAGCCATTTTATAGTTTATAGCCATAATGTTTATCCTTCTTGCCTTTTGTGGTCTATACAGTCTTGGTTAAATAATAAAGGACAGTTAAAATTTAGGAAGCAGAGCAACACGTCTAGTTTGTACTGCTAGGACAAAATTTGAAATGTAAATTTCAAAAACAACATATGAAATTAAAATATTTTAAAATAGAGAAATACTGAACATACAGTCATATGATTTTCATATGTGACAAATGTAACGAGATGAGCTTATTACCCTTAACATGTGCTTAGTCAGAAAACAGTATCTGCATTTATAATTACAGAGTAATAGAATATTGACTAAAAATAAATATATAAATTCCAAAAAGCTGAGAGTTAATATTGAGTAAAATAGACAAAATTAATCTTCCCATCACTTTATTGTTTTTCTGTTTTTGTTTTGTTTTTTTGGTACCAGGGATCGAACTCTGGTCCTTGCGCTTGTGGGGCAGGTGGCGGAACCACTGAGCTAAATCCCCGGCCCTAACTTTTGCCTATTGTTAAAAGACTTTTTTTTTTCTTATTTTTTTCCCTTGTGTCCTGGACACAGATCTGAAGGGCTAATGAGTGCTCTGCCACTGAGCTGCAAGCCTAACCCTCAAAAACACTTTATTCAGCCCCTTCATGTGTAAGGTTCATTTAATTGGTTTTCTCTTACTTTCTGACTGAGAGACATGGATAGTGAACTGTTCTTTCTCTTATTCAGTAATGAATGTGGGTATTACTCCCCAAAACACACAACTTTAAATTTTCAAAAACCAACAAAAGTTGTAACACCTGGCACCTGGGCCCAGGGGTTTAGCTCAGTGGTTCCACCGCCTGCCTCGCAAGCGCAAGGACCCAAGTTAAATCCCCGGTACCAAAAAAAAAAAAGAAAAAAAGAAAAAAAGGTTGTAACAACTGTATCTATATAATCTTCCTACAAATCTATTAATACTTAGATCAGTGAGCATTCCTGCTTTTCAAATATGCCTTTTTAAGTAATACATTGATGATTTACAAAAAAGAAATCAGTAACTGGATAAATTTCACTGTGAGACCATATTTAACTTATTCAGCTGACACATATTCAGCTGACCCTCAGCTAGTGTTGTGGCTGAAACTAGTTTCACTTAACATAGTTGAGCTCAAACAAACTACTGTGAGTTATTTGAAAAAGGAGTCATTTGAAAACAAATTAAAGCTTGTGAAGGAAATCTTAACATTTCATATTTTGGGCTGATAGTTCAGAGTAAATTATTAATTGTCATATATTTGCATAGAGGTTTTCTATGAATTTCAGAGTGTTTTATTTTTAAAATTATTTTCCATTTTGTATATAAAAATTTTGCAACTTATTATTCAGGCTCAAGGATGGTAGAAGCTATTTTATTTTCTCACTGACTTTGGTTGCTTGTAATTCTTTTAGATATGACATTACATTATCAAAGTTAGAAATAGAACATGGATTTATTTAATCCTATACAACTTCTACATGAATGCAAATGATCAAGAATAAGACATAGCATGGCACACGCTGTACAAACTCAGTCACACAAAATGGCATGTTGTATATGTGCACACAGGACCTAGAAGAACACATCCAGCTAAGCTGCTTATGACTGCGAATGACTTTGTTCTTTGCTTCTTTTTTAAAAAATTTTTTTATATATATATTCATTGGTACATTTTAAGTATAAAATGCATTTACATTTATCATTGGGTGTTTGTACCAGAACATGATGCATCTTAGTTTTTATTTTTTCTCCCATTACCTATGCACCCTTCACCCCCTCCACCCTTCCCTATTTACACAGTTTGATTCCATTTTTTTCTCATAATTTTTTCTTTCCCTTCTTCCCTTTCCCCTTTCCCTTGTTCTTTGCTTCTTGTATTTTTGTTTCCTGTAATGCACATATTAACTTAAAAAAAATAAAAATTACTTTAAGAATAAGACACATATTATTGTACAATTAACTTTAATTGTTTAGAAAGAACATTAATACTAGTTCAATAAATGCTAGGCTTGTACACAGATGTTGTATTTCTTCTCCCTACTGTTTTAAAATTTTAAAATATAGAACTAGAATGCCTATATGATTTTTTCCCTTTACTTAAAGTAGTGAGTTTCTATTCATGAAGACTTTCTTAAAAGGTATTATTTTTTTCAGTAGCTAAAGTTCCAAATGCATGATTAATTTTTGGTTTTATATTTAGGTGTTACTTGTAAAATTATCACTATTTTCTTCAACGGACTTGCAGTCTTTTTGTACAAACCACCGCCACTAGGCACTGAGGTGTCCTTTCAAAATCAGGATACAGATGTGACTACTGTTTCAATAGAACAAGATCTCAACAAAACAGTTAATAATGGGTGAAAGAGAAGAAGAAAATTATCTTACAACTGGAAAAATCTATCTTCATTTCTGAGCACATAATGCCATTACAGCACTATCTACCCAATATGGACAATATTTTAAAACGTGATGTTTTATAACTGAGTGTGTTTGTTGCATGTACATGGAGTTTTGTTTTTGTTTTAATGTAAGAAACAGACCTGTGCCTTCAAAGCCCATCAAAGCTTCAAATCACACATGCTCACTTTTTCCACTTGTTAGATATGAAATCACCAACTAATAATATGAAAAACAGCCAACAATTAGTTGAATGTTTACATTTTAAAAACATAGTGAGAAAAAATTTTAAAAGAGTGATGTTATATCTGTTTGACAATTTGTTACATTTTAATTTTCATTTTCAACAGTTTGAGTTTATTTGAAAATTTATCGTGTAAAAATTTAAACATTAAATTTATGTGATATTTTATGGGAATTATTATAAAAAGGCCATAAATTTAAAGGCAGCTTTATAAAGTAGTTTGTTTTTAAGTTATACATACTAGTTTGAACTTTATTTATCACAGTAAATTATTGAATGATTAAAATACTGGTTAGTTATCTTCTTTGTGTTCCAATGTACAGTGAATACAGAAATACCAGCATTGAATAAACTGTTTTCCCTTTAAGTTAAGAATTTCAGAAGGTAATTTGTTGAGTTTTTAACACTTGATTTTTATGAGTCCGTGATAGTATTATTCCATTGCATATATCGCAGAGGAAAGACCTGCTTCAGTAATAAAAAGTGCCAATGATATATGAAAAGCGGGCTGGGAGTATATATATATATCTCAGTGGTAGAACTCAGTTTATAACTCCATTTATTTGGGTCAGATTTATATCATGTTCATTCAGACTGTGGAGGAAGTAGCTGTGAACATCAACAAAAACAACTTTTACTATTGTTAAGAATTTTACAGATTGAGAAAAGCATTGAAGGGCTAGGGGTGTTGTTCAGTAGTAAAGCACGACCTACCTTTTGTGCTTGAGGCCCTGACTTCTTAAACTTGTGGTGGGGGAGAAAAGTTTTGAAGTTTAAACCTAGAAGTGATTACATTTGAATGTTTTTCCAAATTAAAGATTCTAATTGAATAAGACTTGTTAGGTTTCCCCTATCAATCTTTTCCTGGGTTAGTTTTACAGACAGTTCTATATACACTTTGATCAGGGTAGTACAAGCTGAGAGTAAAGACCTAGCAGAAAGTCAACATGAGAAGCTGTAGAAGTTGGCAGAATTCATCTGTTTGGTGGTGATCTATGGCCAAGGATCATTCAAGAACCTAGTAACCGTATGCACTGAGAAGGAATCAGGAGTTAGATAAGCAAGCACACTGGACTATCAAATGAGAGGACCTCTGGGTTGTAATCAGAGGGCTATATCGCCTTAACTAGGAACATTTAAACAACAAAAATCAAAGGTGAAAGGTAGCCAGAAATTCAGGTGTTTGAGAAACAAAATGTCAGCAATCAAAGGGATGGGCAAGATAAATAGGAAGTGTTGCGAGTCTCCCTCCCACACAGCAAGGTATTTTAAATGCTTCCACCAGGTGGAGCCAAGACTAAAGGAGAATTTAGACTTTCTGTGCTGTCTACTTGGAAGCAGGAGATTCAGTGGAAGAATTTCATAGCCCTAAACTAATGGCAAATCCTGAGACCCTAACTGTTGAAATGTGAAATGAGAACAAACAAAGGAAACAGAGTAACTATACAAACACACTAGTGTGGAACCACTTAATTTTAAAGAGAAGAAAAATATCACCACACACGTAGAAGTAGTTTGATAACAGGTTAATAAATAATTGACTTTCATAAAGATTCTTAGTTATCAAGGGCTACCCTGCATTCAGTGTATTCAGTTTTGTAAGATGATATATTTTTATAAACTTTCAATGAAAATGTTAAAGAACAGTAATTTTGACACTTAAAAGGCATCTGATTCTTATTTATACTATACATATGTAGAAAAAATACCTCATTTCATGATAGGGTGATACAGACATTATTATAATTTAAGATCACCATTTTTGCTTTGAGATTCACCTAGGTCGGGGGTGGCGAACCTATGCCACAGGTGCTGCAGTGGGCTGTTTGTTATCATTGAAAGCTTTAAAAGCTTCACCATCACTGACCTAGGTTATATGTGTTGAAGTGCTACTTTAAGAAAAAATTTTCATAATACTTGTTTTTCACAGTTTATAATGATTATAATCAATAAGTTTGAACTTATGAGTTAAACTATTATGATTTTGTATATAATTGGATATATTGTCTTAGAACTTGTAATAGTTTGACTTCCTTATTCCAAAAAATACAAATGTAAAATTCTTAAAACATGGAAAGAACTGTATACATTTTGCTATGTAAATTGGAAGAAACTATAAATAAAATTTTAGACTATTCATGTTTGCTTTATTGTAAGAAATTTTGCCATATATATGTAAGTCTTTTATTAAATCAGAATGTTTACATTAGAACAAGCACCTTTATTAAATGACAGATTTTGAAATTTGGTTATTTTCAGTTTGTAAATAAAGCACACTTACGGATGGGAAAGGGAAATTATACTTTTGAAGTTGAATGTAATTTAATGATTTTCAGTATCTCAACAAATGTATTTAGTTAAATATAAGCTACATTCATTGTAAAATATGTATTAGTTTTCTTTCACATATTAGTTTTTATGTATAACAGATTGACACATAAGATTTATATGAGTAATCACATTAGAAATGGTTTATTGTAAAACATCTGATACTTACAGAAGTAATGTATTTTTGGAAGGGATATATTTAGTGCATTTTGGTTTATCAAAGTCCTTGGCACAGTACTTGTAAATCATATTGCTCACTAATGGTCTTTAACTACTCTGGATCCAGACTAGGATCCCACATTAAATTTGTTTCTTGTGATTTCTTAGTTTTTTCCAATTTGTAGCAGTCCCTCCATCTTTCCTTTTCTTTCATGATGTTTTCTTTTCTGTTGCTGAGTCTCAAACAACTTTAAACTCAAATAGCTTAAAACAAATGTTTATTGTCTTATAGCTCTTACAGCTCTAAGCTCTAGCTCTCATAGCTCAGGAGCAGTTATGATGCATGGTTCTGATCTGAGGTCTATCAGATGGTTGCAGAGAGACTATGGAATCATTAAAGATATGCCCAGAATTAGATAACCTGCCTGCAAAAACTGTGTCTGTTATGGCTTGTGTCTAGATGTCGCCCCCAAAGCCTCATGCAGTCTTAGTGGCTTTTTCAGAGGTGGCTGGATCTAGAGTGTGTAATGCTGAAATTAAGGGCATGTGATTACTCAACCAGTACATTGATTGCTTTGGCACTGACCAAACCCCGGAAGTCTGGATAAGACAAAAGGGACAGGAAGACACTGTTGTTTCCCTTGCTTGCTTGCTTTTGCTGTCTTCTGCTGCCATGAAGTGTTGCTTCTCTGCCATGTGCCACCCTGCCTTTGAGCCATCCAATTATGGACTGAATAGGAGATAAACCCTTTCCCCTTTAACTTTGGATATCGGGTACTTTGTTTCAGCAGTGAGAGAAACTAACACAGTATGTTTATGTGAGGGTTGAAAACTCCAGTCCTCAGCATGTGGGCCTGTTCATAGGGTCTGATGACATGGCAGAGGAGAATGATACATGGGAGAGTGAGAGAACAACAAAATCTCAAACCACAGTGTGTTATATGACCTAATTTTAGAAGTAACATATCCCTTTTATTGCATTTCACTGATCATACAGTGCAGATAATGTTCACTGCCTCTGCGAAGACCCTTTACCACAGCACCTAGACTCATATTTCATGGGTAAAACAGAGGGAAGGCATCTTTAGAATTCTACCTGCCATGTCTGAAACAAAGTGTGAGGAAACCACAAAAATATGTGAAAACCAGGAGACAAGATCACTGGGGTGATTTGAGGGGCTGGCTGCCACTTATAACCTGGACCTGACTCAAGGAAAAGTACTGGACAATTGTTTTGTTGACTATTCCTCAACTTGGGATTGTCTGATGCTTTCTCAAAATTTATATAGAGATACATTTGGGGCAGTAGTACTAGAGAAATGGTGTCATTTTCTTCCAAGTACATCATGCATATGAATACATGATGTATATGATGGAATACTTGTCTGTATATGATGGAATACTTGTCTGTACATGATGGAATTTTGATCATTTGGTTAAAATACGTATCTGCTAGCAGTGACCGCTATCATTATATTTTTTGTTATTAAAAAATAGATATTTAGAGACCATGCAAATGTCCTATTTGTTGTTTTATTTTTTGGTTTTGTTTTTCTGGTACCGGGGATCAAACTCAGGACCTTGCACTTGCAAGGCAGGCACGGTACCACTGAGCTAAATCCCCAACCCATGTTCCATTTGTTAACAAACTTTCACCCCTAATTTTGGTATCTATTGATGATTCCTGCATGTCTGTAACGTGGTTTTGCCAATAGTGATTTCCTATATTCATCACTTCTTTAATAGACATTAATTAGAATTCTACTCTAAAAAAGAGCTATCTCACTCCCCTTGTTATATTTACTCACTTATTTGGGTACACTATTTTTTAAATTTACAGGATATTATTTGGTAAATATTTCAATAAACTTTCTTATTTAATCATTGGGAGCACCGTTGGTTTGGTGATGTTTTAACACATCCACATAACTGAACACATTATTACTGTTTAGCATCTCTGAATGTTTCCAGTTCTTGTATTTCCCCTTTTATTCAAGAAAGAGATTTAAAAAGCAGGATTTTCATGTCAACACTCATACTTCAAAATCTGTTTCTTTTTATCCATGTGCATAGATAGATAGATAGATAGATAGATACTTCCAATTGAAATCTAGTGCCAGACAGTTCATTCTAGTCCTCCTTTATCTTATTTGAAAACCCTTTCTCTGACAGCAAGAAACTTGGTTCTCATTATCCACAACACATTATTTGTCCTATACTAGAGAGTTACTAATTTTCTACTGGTGACACTGCATATTTAAAATTTAGTATCATAAAACAAAATCCATCTATATCTCATGTTTATGTCAAAAGTCCAGGCAGATTGTAGTTCAGTTGCTTTTCAATTCCATGGTTCTCAAATTGAAATCAAGGTTATATTCATTTATGGAAGCTCTGGAGATGAATCTACTTCTAAGTTCACTCAGGTTGTTGGGAGAATTCAGTTACAGGGCATTTCAAGAATGAGATCCATTTTGTTTTGTGTTTTGTTCGTTTGTTGCTAGTTAATAATTGGTTCCTAATGTTCTTGTGTCCTAGAGACCATTCACATTTCTTAACCCATGCACTTTCCCCCACTTCCTCCAACTTCAAAGCTAGCAATGACTTGTCAACTCTCAAGATTTGAATTTTTCTGACATTTACTCTCTCCTATCTCCTCTTCCCCTTACCCCTTTACCCCCTCTGCATTTCTTGTGAGCTTAGTAGAATAAAATTCTCTGCTTTTAAAGGATTATGTTTTATATTGTATCAACCTCCCATGCTCCCGTGTCCAGCATCTGGGACAGTCTGTGGCAAGACGTGAACTCCAAAGGGTTTAGGTGGCTTTGCTCCTATGATGCTGCTGGTGGTTGTAGCTCCCATGGCTTCTCTCTTGAGCTGGCTCTACTGCTTCCTTGCAGTTTTCCCCAGTGGATCCATGTTTCTGGCCTCTCCAAACTTCTGGGGTCTCCACTGCACCTTTGACTTTGCATTCACTGCTTCACACACTGCCCTCGGGGCACACTGCCTGCCTTCCCAGGCCTTCTGAAATCTGGATGGAAGCCTTCCTGACCCCACAATTCTTGCATTCTGCATGTGCCAGCACCACACGAATGACACCAAGTTCTGCAGCCAGCTGGAGCAGTAGCCAGGCTCCCTCCTCTCTTGGCCTTAGGGTTCAAGTGCCTGGATTGTTTGTTGCTGTGAATTCAGCCTGGAAGGACAAATTCTCTAGGGTACCACCATTCTGGAGCATGGTGCTCTGGGGCTCTCTTCTCAAAGCAAAGTCTTTCACCTTTGCAATTTTCAGGCTGCAAAGTCTGGAATACTGTTGGTTTGTGTGATATCCTCAGTGTTTCCTATTGTCCACTTCCTTCTCAGCAACCAACTTCTCCTCTGAAACAACTTAGTCCAGCAAGTTGAAAACACAATCCAAAGTTTGGAGAAAATACATCTGCGTTGTATCTAGAATATACAAAGAACTCTTAGAACTCAAGAAAAAAAAAATCCCAAATGAAAATGTGAGCAAATGAGATGAATAGAAATTTCTTTAAATGATCACATGAAATGATGGTATAGATTCTGGTAACTTAAAGAGATAGAAGTAGTGACAGTCTGGTGGCAGTAAGCAGATCTTCCTTTCTGAAAAATAAAGCCCTATTAAAATAACAGCTTTCCAGAGAAATGATTAATGTTTTCATGGAAGATACATATTCTATCTGCAAAAAGGCACAGCAGCGATGACAATATTAGTGTCTTTCTCTGAATCATTGAACTCACACTTAAATAGCACATTTCACTATTTGGAAAAATGTTGCCTCAAAAAATAGGTTGAGATGGAAGAAAAATGAGTTTATAAACCAGAGGTGGTGAACCTAAGGTACATGTGCAACAGCAGGCTGTTTATATCATTGAAAGCTCTAAAAGGTTCTCCATCATTGTTATAAACAATGTCTAAAAAAATAGCTATTGTTGTGAGCCTCCAAATCAATTGAAAGGAAGCCCTAAGATAATCATACTAATAATGAAAATGTTTGTAAAATAAAAGAGACTTGATATTTTCTCTCTAGTTTGTTACTTGCGGAATGGCAGACCCACCAGAATGGAATGTAAATCTCAGAATGTTGAAAGGATAAAGGAACACAGAAATATCTTTTTGGCTTAAGAGTGGAGACCACAATATAAAGAAAGGGAAAAATAGATACATTCACAAAATCTGAAGATGAATATTTTCCATATGTTAAGATGCCATGAAATACAAGTATGCTTGAGCAGACTTCCAGGGACTTGGCTTCAAGTGTTTCCTGCTAAGAAGTCATCCTGGAAACAGGAACAATACAGAGTAAGTCTGTAAGAAATCAACCTAAGGCATCAATGTTTTGTTTGAGGTGCTCAGTTCAGAGGTCAACATGAACCTACAATTGGACTCCACAAATAAGCCAGCTTTGGGAGGCCTGCCATAATGGGAGACATTAAGGTCAGCCAGTGTTAGCCAAGAGCTGACTATGTGGCCTGATAGTGTATTATTATTATGATTATCATCATTGTTGTCGTCATCATCATCATCATCATCATCTCCATTGTTTTGTTTCCTTTTCCTCAGTTTCTTCCATCCATCCCTCATTTGGTAGAATATAATCAGTTCTAATTTGGGGGACTGAGGCATAAGATCTTGCAAATACCTAAAATTGCCATACAGCTATGGGATATAAGAATTGTGCCAATAGGCTGTGGAAATACAATCCTACAGAATGAAGTAGCAATGAGATAAAAACAAGGCTTTTTATAGCTTGTATCCTGTGAGTGGAATTTCCACTTCTTTTGAGTTACATTACTATCTTCACACTTTCTTTTTCCTTATTCAGGGGAAACAGACATTAGGATTTGGGTACATTCATCCCCTTAAGCCAGTGCAAAAATCTGTTTCTTCATGAAATTCATTAACTAGAGTTTGTTTTGTGTGGTTGGCAACAATGACTGCAAT